TCCGTCCGTCCGTCCCACTAGAGGTCTGCGGATTTCGTGAGAAAAAAAAAAAAAAAAAGGCCTCCCGGAAAGGAATTGCAAAATACTTGTGCTGGGATCACCAGGAGGTTGTGTTGTGTTTGGGTTTGCTTCCCGGCGATTTCCAGGCGCCCGCTGACTCCGAGCTGCGCTGGATTTCCTCGCTGGGAAGTGAATTTGTGTATTTTAAACACGGATCTCGAAGAAGAGTCCTGTGAAAGTCACTTTGGATTTCCTAATTTGGATCAAGATCTTTTCTTAACGTAAGTTAAAACCAAGACGGCGGCGGGACCAACGACCCAGCAAGATAAAAGCTCCGGGGAAATGGCAGACTTCGGGATGTCTGTTTGTCCGGCCGAGGTTTATATCACGTAGAAGGAGGGAGTGGAACGAAACATGTTTTTTGGTTGCCCAAGGAATGTTTTCTTAAATTGGTGCACTTAGATCGCTGGAGTTACTTGAATGTACAGACCTTGGTGTCAGATGTTAGAGGATTTATATCTTTTTTATTTCTGTGTGAAATCGGCTAAGCCTTTTCCCACAGCTCGGTAGCAGGTCCCAAGCCACTGAAGTGCGTGACGGCTGGGTCTAGCAGCGACCCTTGGACTATCTGGAGGTATTGTTGTTGGTTTATTGTTTTTTTTGTTGTTGTTGTTTTTTTGCTGCGGGGATTGAGTTACACCGTCCCCCTGGGAACGGCCATGGCGTTGAAAGCCAGAGCACTTTACAATTTCCAGAGCGAAAACAAAGAGGAAATCAGCATCCAGGAGAACGAGGAGCTCGTGATCTTCAGCGAGAACTCCCTGGATGGGTGGTTACAGGGTAAAAACAGCCGCGGAGAGACAGGCCTCTTCCCTGCCTCCTATGTCGAAATCCTCCGGTCCAGGTCAGGCTCCAATTATACGGACTATTCTCACAGCCCCGCCGGCTCCCCTGGGCACGACTCCTCCTTCTACGTGGCTCCGACCAACCCCAGTGTCTCCTACCAGGGCAGTTTTGAGGACGACGATGACGACGACTGGGATGACTGGGATGATGCCTGCACAGTGGTGGAGGAGCCTCGGAGCACTCCAGGCACCAATGGGCACCCTTCGCCCACGCTGCAGTACCCCACGGCTTACTCGCACCAGCACGCCGGCTACCGCCCCAAGCCGGCGCTGGAGAGGCAGGACAGCATGAGCTCCTCCAAGAGGGGCAGCGTGGTGGGGAGGAACCTCAACCGCTTCTCCTGCTTCGTCCGCTCTGGGGTGGAAGCCTTCATCCTGGGCGATGTGCCTCTGATGTCCAAGATCGCAGAGGTGTACTGCATTGAGATGGGCTCCAAAGGCCCCCAGTGGCGGGCGAATCCCCACCCCTTCATCTGCTCCGTGGAGGACCCAACCAAGCAAACCAAATTCAAAGGCATCAAGAGCTACATCTCCTACAAGCTGACCCCCAGCAACATCAACTCTCCCGTCTACCGGCGGTACAAGCACTTTGACTGGCTGTACAACCGCCTCCTGCACAAGTTCACGGTGATCTCGGTGCCCCACCTGCCTGAGAAGCAGGCCACCGGCCGCTTTGAGGAGGACTTCATTGAGAAGCGCAAACGGCGGGTGGAGTTGTGGGGGG